CTGAAAAAGTATTTAAAAATATGAAATTTAGATATTTGTACCCTGTTGAGGTAAGGAACCATGGTATATATGTTTGGAATAGATTCCATTTTGAGAGAGTTGAAAAAGCACTATCCTGTTGAAAGGTTCTATACATCTGCCCTTTCTCAAGACATTTTTTTAGACAAGGACTCCGTTTTTTCCTTTTTTCGGATGGTAAATATTTCTCAGAACATGGAGTATGAATCAAACCCATGTTTGAATGGAAATTGAGATACTGATGCAAGTTCTTCGCTTCTGAATCAGGTAGATTCATATCTGAAAGAGGTTGACAATAAGTTCTTTCAAAATGGTCTATTTGTCCCTCTGTTAGAGGTGTTCCAGAAATGTCTGCGATCGAGTAAATAGCTCCACGAACGAATGGATCGTATCGAATTGGAAAATGGAAAGATTTGTACAAGTTATACCCTTCGTCGCCACTTTGCGGAAAATCGTTAGGTATCAATATGTTAGATACCTGTGACTCGATTGGTGAAATAGTATCTCTCTCCCAAAAAGCATGTTTTTTTTGACCATCGCAAAAAGAAAATATTTTGTTGCGAATGAACAAGATATTGAGGAATTGTCTATACGTAAAATCATAATTATTGATACAGGCCTTTTCCACATAAAAAGGGAATCTTTTGTTACAATAGAAGCAGAAGTGATATTGATTATTCAAGAATCGAAGTCGATTTGCTTTATAAAAAGAGTATATCAATGAACTCCTATGAAAAGGTTTCACGGGATTCAGCCAATTGTCTGGATCGTGGGATATCATTGATAAATAGGAATCTGTGTTATCAAAAGATTTCCTGCGATTCTTTCTAGTATGGAATGAGTCAATCATCCACTCTTGTATCTTATTGAACAAAAATGGTGATATTGTTCCTCCATGGATCAAGAATTTGGATTTTTGGGAAGTATCTTGGTCATCCAATAATAAGGGTTTCCATTTTTTCAAATGAAAGATTTGAAGACCTATTGATTCTAATAACTGATTATAGAGTGGATCATTCGGACCTTTCAATTCATAGATGTGGATCTCGGACCTATGAATGGGGATACCCCCGAAACTCACAAAGAAAAAAGGAAGTGAGTTAGACAAAAAGAGAAGAAACTTGGACAAAAAAAGAAGAAACTTGGACAAAAAGAAAAAAAGTGACTTAGACAAATCTTTTTTGTCGATAACCTCGGACCAATCAATCGAATATTGATTAATATGCAATCGATCAAACACTACTTGAAAACGGCTATTCTGCTCAGAAATGAAATAGTCCAAATGTTCCTGGAAATTATTGCTCCCATTGGACCATTTGTATCTATATGCACTAGGATCCCGATTCATGGATCTCTCCGTTCGAGAAATCCTCTAATAACTAATACAATTCTAATAGTAATATTATTAATTTATTCTATTTGAAAAACCACTTTATTTTATTGGGCTAAAACAAAATCTTTGTTTTCTTAACTTAATGTTAGGAAGACCACCATCAATTGATGCTTCTAAATTTCGCTATTCCAATCAAGCGTTAGAATATAAATATTAATATATAAATGAAAAAAATGATTAAGATCCTGCAAAAATGATAAGAAGAGGGAAATAGAAAAAAATGTTAAATAGTCACATATATATATATATATATATATATATATATATATATATATTTAT